TTTTTTTTTTTTTTTTTTAAAGATTTTATTTATTTATTTGAGAGAGAGACAGTGAGAGAGAGCATGAGCAAGGAGAAGGTCAGAGGGAGAAGCAGACTCCCCATGGAGCTAGGAGCCCGATGCGGGACTCGATCCCGGGATCCAACCAACTGAGCCACCCAGGCGTACCCCCTGAGAGACTCTTAAGCAGATTCCACCCTAAGTCCAGAGCCTGACATGGGAGGGGGGGGTCAAGCTCCCTGATGTAGTTTCAGAATGTTTAGTGATGTCTTAAGCCAACTGCCAAGAAAGAATTTTTTTTTTCTTTTAAGATTTTATTTGTCAGAGAGAGAGACAGAGAAAGCACGCGCACAAGCAGGCAGAGCGGCAGGCGGAGGGAGAGAGAGAAGTAGGCCCCCCCAGAGTAAGGAGCCTGATGCAGGACTCGATCCCAGGACTCTGGGCCATGACCTAAGCCAAAGGCAGCGGCTCAAGGCTCAAACGACTGAGCTACTCAGGCGTCCCAAGAAAGAATTCCCAAGGAAGAACCCTTGATCTGTCTCTGGTACAAAGGGCGCTTTTATTAATGCAGGGGAGGGCGGTGGAGCGGGTGTGAGGACTGGCTGAGTATATACTTGGGAGTTCAGGGAGGTTTTCAAAAGGACTTTCATATGCTAAAGAGATCCTACAAGATACTGGAGGCCTCGCCTTTGTCAAGTTAAGGTTTTTCCCTCTAGCAAGCCATTAACAGGAAGACAGTTGGGAGTTTCCCCCTGGAAGTTAGGTTATTGATAATAATGCTTTTTTCTTGCTAATCACTAAGGCATTCGTAAACTGAGAGAGACTCCCATCCTCCCGGGTGTGATCGCTGTAAGTTGAACCGTTTGTTTTCCTTCCCTCCCTTCAGAGCCGCCAGGACTGCCTAAGGAATGTTTCACGGACCCACCGGACTGAGCCTTGTCCTCCTCTTCCCTTCTGCTCCCTCGTCATCAAGACCCTGAGATCTCAACACGAGCCAAAATCAAGAGTCTGACATGTAACCAACTGAGCCACCCGGGTGGCCCTTCAAGATTTTTTTTTAGAATTTTTATTTATTTATTTAAAAAAATTTTTTAAAGATTTTATTTATTTATTTGACAGAGATCACAAGTGGGCAGAGAGGCAGGCAGAGGGCTGCCCGGGGGGCTGGGGGTGGGTGGGCAGGAAGCAGGCTCCCCGCTGAGCAGAGAGCCCGACTTGGGGCTTCATCCCAGGACTCTGGGATCATGACCTGAGCCGAAGGCAGAGGCTTTAACCCCCTGAGTCACCCAGGAGCTCCAAACTTTTCATTTTTAAGTTCTCTCTACACCCCTCGTGGGTGAAACTCACAATCCCAAGATCAAGAGTTGATTGGCATGCTTCACTGACTGGGCCTGCCCGGTGCCCCCGCCCTATTGAAACAAATAAACAAGTACTTTTTAACAGAGGATAGAAAAAGACACCAGATAGAAATACACAAAATGACCGTTGCAGTTGTGCTCTCCCAAGTTCCTGTCTCCCTGCCCACGCTGCCCGGATGGCCTCCCAGAACCGAGACCCAGCTGCCACCAGCATTGCTGCGGCCAGCAAAGGAGCCAAACCCAGCGCAGGGTGCCGCCCAGGGTCCCGTGGGCAAGAGGCTACAGCAGCAGCTGATGGCTTTCATGATGTCTGGCAGGAAAGGAATCTCTGCCTTCCCTGAATCAGACCTTTTTCAAACGGGTGGGGCCCATCGTGGAGCAGCTGGCCAAGTCTATGAAGACGTGAGGTGTAAGTTCTTTGGGTTTCCCCAGTGGTTCCACTTATAATGCCCCCATGGTCAAGTGCCTCCCGTCCTGCTAGCACCCCAGCATGGACATCCAGGGCAGCATCTGCCTAGACATCCTGAAGGACAAGTTCTGCCCTGGGTGATGTCAGGACCATCCTGCTGTCTGTCCAGAACCCACTAGAAGAAACCAACATCCATAGCCCTTTGGTTAGCGAGCTCTAGAAAAAGCCATAGCCTTTGAGAAGTCTCTGCAAGAAACCTGCTCAAAGCGGGTCTCTGGCCAGGAACCCCGTGCAGCCTCTCTCCTTGTCTTTTCATTGCTTCCTTAGATGTTCTGTCCTTTCCTTCGTTTCTGTCTAGGATTTTGTTTCTTAAGCTGTGGTATCCTTTTTTTCTGTTTGTTTTTTTTTTTTTTAAATTAAGTCTTTGGTTGAACCCTTGTGATGAATCTATTCAATACATACACTGGGTTTAAAAAAAAAAACATGCCTGGATGGCTCAGTAGTGAGCACGTGACTCTTGATCCTGGGGTTGGAAGTTCAAGCCCCACGCTGGGTGTAGAGATTACTTAAAAATAAAATCTCTGGGGGGCACCTGGGTGGCTCAGTGGGTTAAGCCTTTGCCTTCAGCTCAGGTCATGATCTCAGGGTCCTGGGATCGAGTCCCGCATCGGGCTCTCTGCTCTGCAGGGAGCCTGCTTCCTCTTCTCTCTCTGCCTGCCTCTCTGCCCACTTGTGATCTCTCTCTGTCAAATAAATAAAATCTTTAAAAAAAAAAAATAAATAAAATAAAATCTCTGGGGCACCTGGGTGGCTCAGTGGGTTAAACCTCTGCCTTTGGCTCAGGTCATGATCTCAGGGTCCTGGGATTGAGCCCCCCACCCCGCCCCCACTTCCTCCTGTCTGCCTACTTGTGATCTCTGTCAAATAAATAAATAAAATCTTAAAAATAAATAAAATATAATCTCTGGGGTGCCTGTGTGGCTCAATTAGTTGAGTGTCCGATTCTTGAATTCAGCTCAGGTCCTGAACTCAGGGTTGTGAGACTGAGCCCCACGATGGGTTCCATGTGGGGCGTGGAGCCTGCAGGAGATTCTTTCTCTCCCTCTGCTTCTCCCTCTCCCTTCCTCAAATAAGTGAATATATTAATGATATATTGTTATATATTATTATACTATACATATTAATTATATATTAACATTAAATATACGAAATGAGAAGTGAAAGCTTTTTCTGCCCCAGTTCTCAACAGTTATGTTTCTTGTGTATATTTTCCAGAAAAAAAAATTTTTTTAAAGATTTTTATTTATTTGACAGAGATCACAAGTAGGCAGAGAGGCAGGCAGAGAAAAGAGGGGGAGCAGGCTCCCCGCCTAGCAGAGAGCCCGATGCGGGGCTCGATCCCAGGACCCTGAGATCATGACCTGAGCTGAAGACAGGGGCTTAACCCACTGAGCCACCCAGGTGCCCCGTAAATTTTTCTATCATATACCAGTAAGAATAGTATTATTACCTTTTTACTATGAATCCATATGGTTACATAAGTTGTATTACTTAACAATTTGGACTTTTCCTACCGGCACATAGAGATTTGCTTCTTCCTGTGTAAAGGCTGGCTAGTATGTTTATGTCCTAATTTTACCAGCTAGACAGTTTGTACTTTTTCATTTTTTTTGGTTTATTTCTTTTGAAGTCATCTCTACACCCAACTCACCACCTGGAGATCAAGAGTTGCCTGCTCTACCTACCGAGCCCGCCGGGCGCCCCCTTTCCTACTTCTGTCAGCGAGGCCGTCTGGAGCACCTGGTGCGGCACCTTCTACAGCTCTCGCAGGCGTGCATGTGTCAGGCCGACCAGACGTACCGTTGCCGGTTCTGAGATGTGAATTTTGAGATCTTCAGTTTTGATAGATTTCATCGTGTCTTTGTAAAATAAAAAGGCACCATGAGTCAGGACTCCCACTAAAATGACCTGCACTTGCTCCTTCATGTCCTTGCTGGCTCCTGGTATTAATTATATATTAATAACCTGTGAAACCTTTAAAAATGGGCCTCTCCTACCTGATCCCAGGCCACCGCAGTCAGTGTCTTTCGGGTTAAGACCTGAGCACCTGTGTTTCAAAAAGCTCCCAGGTGACGGAGAGACATACAGCCTCATCTCCTCACTCACCAGGTACACACCGCACACCTATCACATGATCAACGCAACAGATACTTGCATTTTACTTAAAAAAATGAACACAAACTTTATCTGATTTTCCTTCAGGCAACAGGCAGACCCATAATAAAAGCACTGTGTGGGTAGCACGACCTAGGGGCACTGGGAGGCTGTCCCTGCAAAGGGCTGCTTCTGCCCCCCACACCCCCGGTTCCTTCTTGAGGAGTCCCAGACAAGGATGGTATCTGAGAGGTGGCTGCAGGGGGGACACGAGGGCGACAAGATCAAGTTGAGGGCAAGGGAAGGGATAGAAATAGAAACTACCTGTCAGCCATCTTCTTAAATCCCAGGACCCTTTGAAAATCCTGCAGAAAAAGGCAAGTTGCTCGTCTGGCTTGATGTCCAGCACCCGGCCCGCGCACCCTTCACATGGACCTCTCTGCTGACAGGGAGCGGTCACTTCCTCGGGGGTGTGAGAGCAAGAGCACTACTCCTTTCAGAACAGACCAAAGAAATCATGCGGGGAAGAGCTGGTACGCAGCAGCCAGCCGTTACCTCAGGGGCCCCTCAGGGAACTGCCTCTGGTCAACCCAGCCCCCTTCCAGCTCTGCGCACCTCTTCGACTTTTGTCACCTTTCCCACAGACATGTCTACAAGCTGGCGGGACGCAGGCTCAGGACGTGAAGCAGGATCTCCTGTCTGGTCGGTCGCCCAGGATTCAGTAGTCATAGCAACACATTCACCTCCAACAACATACCCCACGCCCAGGACCTGATTGGTCACCTCGCCTGTTGCCCCGGAAAGCTGAAGAGAATCCTGGTTCTCCTGCCTTCTATCAGTGACAGAGGCAATTCTAAGAGCAAGGACCAAAGTTCCTATTTTAAGGTTTCTTCTGTGGGGTCACGGCATGACCCTAAGTCCAAAGGACATATCCTATGCCTGTTTCATTAAAAGGCAACTACAGGGCACCTGGGTGGCTCAGTCGGGTAAGCATCTGACTTTTGATTTCGGTTCAGGTCATGATCTCAGGGGGCAGGAGACTGAGTCCCACATTGGACTCTGCTCTCAGTGGGGAGTCTGCTTCTCTCTCTCTGCCCTCCCCCGGCTCATGCACATGTACATTCTGTCTCGAATTAAAAAAAAAAAAAAAATGGGGCACCTGGGTGGTTCAGTCATTAAGCGTCAGCCTTTCGTTCAGGTCATGATCCCAGGGTCCTGGGATCGAGCCCCTCATCGGGCTCCCTGCTCCGTGGGAAGCCTGCTTCCCCCTCTCCCACTCCCCCTGCTTGTGTTCCTTTTGCTATGCCTTGCTTTCAAATAAATCTTAAAACAAACAAACTATAAAGAAATCAATCATATACTTTTTAAATTGTTCATTTTATTAAATAATCTAGAATGTCAGACCAGTGCATTGGTCTGACATTTCTTCCCTGTCCCACAGCATCCCCAGGAAGTATAGGGGGATGGGATTATGTCAGGCTCCAGCGTTCCCTTTATTCAAGACAGTATGGAAAGAAAGCCCAAAGGCAGAGCCTTGCATATCAGGGAAGTCATGTTAATCTTTCTACCAACTGCCTCTTAAGATGTCTCAAACCCAAATGGTCCCCATTAAAATATGTAGAAAGGGACAGACATGGAAGACACCAGGCCCCAGCATCCCAACTCTCACTCTTAGGATTATTTATAGTTTGGAAAAGGAGAAAAAAACAGATGAACTATAATAAAAACCAAGTGAAGATCTTTAAGAAAACATTGATGGAAACATTAGAAAAACATCTGAATTCAACTCCGGAAAAAAGTGCTATCAAGAGAAAATAAAGTCTTGATTTCCTGAAATGGGCTCTAAGAACCAGCTGGAGAATGATCCTCCAGGCATGAACCCTAAGAGCTCTGGACACTGTAGCAGGTCAGCAGACCTGGGCCCACCAGCCACAGGACGAGGCCACGGGCCCCAGTGGCGGGGCGGCAGCAGCAGCCCATCACAGAGTACTTTCCAGTGTGTTATAGTTGTCTTTAAAGCTCTTCAGTTCAAGGAAGTGCTTGGCACGTTTACTCTTCTGACTGGAGGGGAGGTATGTCACCTGGATGGTCGCCGGCGAGACTTCAGGGGACTGGGTCAAGTCTTTGGCCGCGGACTGGTGCTGTCGTTGCGAACTCCCACTTCGCGCTTTGACCCTGGAGCACATAGGGAGGGCAGCTTAAGGACAGAATGAGGACTAACACAATTTAAGGCTCATCCATTCTATAAATGTAGCTATAGCTGCAAATGACCCCTGCTCTTGTCCTACCTTCTAAACTAGTTACTAAAACCCCATCTGATAGCTTAGAAGTAGCAGAGAAACCAATTTTCCCACTGAGTCCCTGACTCTGGCTCAACATTTTCATTTCACTATGAAGAAAACTTTTAATTCTGCTGATTTACCTACTGTGTGTGTGCTGCAAATATACTCCCAGTCCAAAACAGTCCCTTGAAAACTGAACAGCAAAAAATAAGAAACTCAAGTAGCTACTGAGTACTTATGACATGTTACATTAGACTTGGTGTTTTACCAACATCTAATTTACTGATATCCCAGTATCTCTGTATGGTGGTAACATCCTCATTTTCCAGGTTAGGAAACTAAGAGGCCCCTTGCCTGAGGTCACAAAGCTATCAAGTGACACAGTTGGGGGACACCTGGGTGGCTCAGTGGGTTAAGCCTCTGCCTTCGGCTCAGGTCATGATCTCAGGGTCCTGGGATGGAGCCTCCCATTGGGCTCTCTGCTCAGCGGGGAGTGTGCTTCCCCGTCTGCCTACTTGTGATCTCTCCCTCTCTCTGTCAAGTAAACAAATCTTTTTTAAAAAAAAGTGATAGTTGGGTGCAAGTCTGTTGGATTTTGGAGCCCATTCTCTTCATCACTCATTGCAACTTTCTCACTGAAACCAGCAATCAAGGACTGAATTTTTATTTTTTTATTATTTTTAAATATTTATTTGACAGAGAGAGAGATCACAAGTAGGCAGAGAGGCAGGCGGGGGGGGGGGGAAGCAGGCTCCCTTCTGAGCAGAGAGCCTGATGTGGGGCTTGATCCCAGGACCCTGAGATGATGACCTGAGCTGAAGGCAGAGGCTTAACCCACTGAGCCACCCAGGCCCCCTTATTATTTTTAAAGTTCATTTATTTTCTAAAAAGATATTTGACAGAGAGAGATACTGCGAGAGAGGGAACACAAGCAGGAGGAGTGGAAGAGGAAGAAGCAGGCTCCCCTTCTGAGCAGAGAGCCTGATGTTCATTTATTTCAGTAATCTCTACACCCACTATGGGGCTTGAACTGGAACTCAAGACCCCAAGATCAAGAGTTAAGTGCTCAGTGTGCCTGGGTGGCAGTCAGCGGAGCATCTCTTGGTTTCGGCCTAGGTCATAATCTTGGGAGTCCTGGGATCGAGCCCCGCATTGGGATCGAGCCCCACATTGGGACCCATGCTCAGCTTGGAGTCTGCTTGAGATTCTCTTTTCCTTTCCCTCTGCCCCTCCCACTCACGCTGTTTTTCTAAAAAAGAAAAAAGAAAGTTACATGCTCTTCCAGCTGAGCCAGCCACAGGTACCCCTATTTATGCCTGAAGTGAGACTTGAACTCATGACCCCAAGATTAAGAGTCATTCTACTGCAGCAGCCAGATGTCCCACAAGGACAGGGATTTTTATTTACCTTGGTTTTTTTAAGGATTTTATTTTTATTTATTTGACAGAGAAAGATAGCGTGCGCGCACGCACAAGCAGGAGTGGCAGGCAGAGGGAGAGGCTCCCACCACGCAGGGAGCCTAATGCAGGACTTAATCCCAGGTCCCTGGGATCATGACCCGAGCTGAAGGCAGACGCCCAACAAACTGAGCCACCCAGACACCCCTATTTATTTTATTATTATTATTTTTTAAGATTTTATTTATTTGTTAGGGACAGAGGGAGAGAGACCAAGCGAGTGCAGGCAGACAGAGAGGCAGGCAGAGGCAGAGGGAGAAGCAGGCTCCCTGCCGAGCAAGGAGCCCGATGTAGGACTCGATCCCAGGACGCTGGCATCATGACCTGAGCCGAAGGCAGCTGCTTAACCCACTGAGCCACCCAGGCGTCCCTAAAGATTTTATTTATTTGACAGAGAGATCACAAGCAGGCAGAGAGAGGGGGAAGCAGGCTCCCTGCCGAGCAGAGAGTGCGGTGCGGGGCTCGATCCCAGGACCCTGAGACCATGACCTGAGCTGAAGGCAGAAGCTCAACTCACTGAGCCACCCAAGCACCCGTTTCTTTTTTTTTTTTTAATTTTTTAAAAAAATATTTTGTTTTATTTTTTAAAGATTTTATTTATTTGACAGAGATCACAAGTAGG